GGGGTTATAATTATTGCTCTTCTTCTGTACCATCTTACATTCTCATTTGAATGTTCTGACGGTGTTGACCTGTTGTTTGGTCCTGACTTTTCGTAACGTTAGACATTCTATGGAGCCTCCAGATCTGTTCGAAATAGCGTTAGCGCTGAACATATGTGGGCGTCATGTTCATCACCAGAACCCCTACAAGTAGGTCTTCACCGAAAACGAGCGGAAAAAAATGTTGTAGTGCCAGGAATGCCAGGAAAACCTTCGAAACCTGGAACCATAAATAAGAATTGAAGCAAAAATTAATAATTAGGAACAAAAACCAGAAATTGGTCAGGGAGCTGAATGGCCTCTGCAGCAGAAGTTTCGGAGAAAATCGAGAAGTTGACCAATTCAAAAATAATTGGTCGCTGACAAGTTAGTAGTAGTCCATGAACCCCAGCAGATGACTGGTCATCCCGTTCTGTAATAACAATTTTCGTTCTAAAATCGACTCTGGCGGACAATAAAGCTACCGAGCGACGAGAGGATCCACCGCGACGTGATGGGGTTCTTCGGGGGACCGAACTTTGGTTTCCGTAAATCACCAGGCTATGCCGCCTGTTTTTAGCGCCACGTTCATCTTGAAGTCGTACACCAGTATGGCGGTTTGCCAACCCATGACCACTGTCCAAGTTTGGTCAAAATCTGGATTTTTTTCAAAGTTCGCCTTTTGGGGCGAATTAGGGCCTTGATCCCGAATATGACGTTTGGTTTTTGGCGCTGACGTCATTTGTGCCAGTTTGGCGCTGTGAATTTATTCCATCAGTTTCCAATGAAAACCCAGTTGTAGGGGTTGCTGGTGGTCCTAACTGTGGATATGACATCTATTACATTTTGGCACTAAAACTATTTCGTACCGGTTTGGAGGCGACAATCAAAAATCAGTGATGTGAAAGGTGGCTGTTCCAATCGCCTTCACGATTTGAGTGCTGCCGTATCTTGTTTTGTAGAAACAAGATTAGGCTCAATGTGGTCTTGAGGGGGGGGAGGGGGAAGGGGGGGAAGGGGAGGGAGGGGACAGTCCATGTAACATAGCGGAAACTCGAACATTTCAAATTTTCACGCATGACAAGTGACTGCCCTCATCTCCCACCCCCTAGATAGACTGGCTACACTCCTCCTGGC